ATTCTCCGAAGGTTCATGGAGACAAGTTTTGATTGGTACTTCTATCATCAACAAGGAAGATTCGTGTGTATTATTGCAAATTAATGCAGAAATTGATGTCGTATAAATGCTATTTGAAATAATTGTCTTTCTTGAATGGTCTTTTGTGTAGTAACTAACGATTAATTCTACAAAATTTTTTCTAAAATTGTCTCTTATTTTTTAGTTTTGTTTACATTTTGAATTAAATTTAAAGATATATTAAAGAATTAAAAATAATCATGCTTCAAAAGTTTTTCAGCTCTCCACATTTCATCTCTTTTTGTGCATAAGAAGTATTGTGAATCCTTCTCACTCTTTTGCAACTCTAATTTTGTCTTTATTTTCTACTTCATCTCTAATTTGCATAAATTAACTTTAAAGGAAAATGAATTATTAGTTTTGTCACTCATGAGTTTATATTTTTATTTATATTTTTATCTAAAGAGGTATTTTTAATATATTTTTGTCCCTTTATGATAGCAAGAATAAAAATGGTTTAGTTTACAATGTAGGCTAACGTGATCATACCATAATGATGTGTGAAATTCATTCTCTGTTTACGCAAGAACTTCTAGCTTTGCTGCAGAAATTAGCCTTCATGATGTTGTGCGAATCTGATGACTGACTACACATTTTCTACTCATGTAAAACATAACATGCTTGAATTATATGCAGCAATGATTTAGACACCATATATGGAATTATACTTTTGGCTTTGGCATTCGATATTTTTACGTGGCTATACGACAATAGCACTTTTGTGTTTTGCAAATTGTGGGAGACAGCAAAACCTGATTGACTTCTGATTCAATTTCTTAACATGTGTTTAGTACTTTGCCATAATCAATTGTTTCGTCTTCATGATTGCATCTCAACTTTATTTGCAAAACTGGGCGTTTATGATTACATATAGAAAGTAATTAACCGGAAGCCATTACTGCATCTCACACAACAATATAAAGTAAATTTTAATTTTAACAATATTTTAACATTATTTAAGTGTCATTTTGGCGTGACTGTCAAAATTATTTTACAATCAATAAATAATAATATAAATTCTCGCATATAGGACCATCACAAGGTTAAAGTGTGTTAAAAAATATTATCAAATATCATTACCCAAAAATAATTTATTATATATTATTTATTATTATCTCAGAGAAAAATATTGAACTGGAAGTGGAAAAAGAATAAAAAACCATATTTTGGACTTGTTGTAAAGAGAAGGGAAAGAAATGTGAGTTGCAGGGTCGTATCACTTCAAAAAAGGAAAAATTCTTTCTGAAACTTCTTGATTATACTCTTGTCTAAAAAAGCAAAATAAAGCGAAATAATCTTATCCAATTTCATTTTCTGAAAATAAATTCACAATCTATAATTGAAGGAAGAAAGTACTTTTATCTTAATTTGTATAGTTTGCATTAATATCTATATAATTTCGATAGAAATGAAAAATTTGTAACATAATTTTCAAGCATCACATGTGACTGTGAGTGTCAAGAAAAGAGAATATTCACTTTGAGGTGAGGAAATGAATAGGGCAGAACAATGGACTGTACCCTTCGGTCGGGCTGTCATTAGAGAGAGAAGCCAATTTGCATTCTAAAAACCATCATTTTTTATAAAGTCAATATAACCATCAATTTTTATAAAGTTAAAAAGGTTGCTTAATCGGGTGTAAAATTTGTGAATAATTCGATTCATTACTGTTGGGTTAAATTAAGAAAAATTAGTAAATTTTGATATGAATTAAAAAAACATAATTACTAAAAACACGTTTATCTAATTCAGCAAATCATCAATGAATTTTAAATGATATTGAGAAAAACAAAAATTTAAATCGTAAAGTTACTCTATGTTCAGATATCTATTCAATATTCTAATAGTATACATAAATAAATAACAACAATTATTTGATATTAAATACATATTTGTTTTGTATTATGTGGTGTTTTTATTGTATTTTAAAATTTAACATGATTTGAATATATCATATTTTTTTTATTGTTGGATTATATGGGATTTAAATAATTTTGGATTATATTTACCATAAACTTTATTAAATTTTAATAAAAAAGTTTTATTTTTTTGGAGATTGAAGTAAAAAATATAGACTTAAATACATCAAACTCATTTAATTCATCAATTTATGGATACAGGCTGTATCAAATTGTGACAATCTTTTATCCGATGCCATTTGATCACATTATTAACATACACATAAGGCCACCTGACTCCGTGACGCGTGGTACCATTTTATACATTAAATCTCACTTTAGGCGTGATTCAAACTTATCATGCTATTGAGTCAATATGATCAAATTTACATATTAACGAGACAAAACTTATCATTAATACTAGTCAAAATATTTACACTAAAATCTTGTTACATTTAATGGCCTTCTAACGTAATCACAAAAACAAAATATTAATATTATTGATTAAATAGGTATTCGTATTAAAAACTCTCAATAAACTACTGCAATTTTATTATTAGTTCATGTTACAACAGGGTAAAATATTATGATTGTTCAACTAAGGTATGTATGAGAAAAAAAATAAATGAAAACGAAGAGTTTGAAAATAAAATTTAAGAACTAAAACAACAAAATTTATAACTGAAATTTTAATCTAATTTTTTAAAAGATATATAAAAACAAATTACTATAATTGTAAGAAAATGTGGTTGTATAAGAATTGTTGAAAAATGGTGATAGCAAAGGCGGGGAATGGAGAAAAAAAGTCTAAGACTTTTTTTATATTGGTTGAAATGTTCACTGAGAAATTATATTCAATTTCAAATCACACTGTATGAGTTGGATGTTTTTATTTAAAAAATAAAAGTTACTTGTATATTTCATATTCTATATGCAACACAATTAAGTGTGAGCACTTTTTGTAAACCTATACGACAAAAACAATATACAAGTGTAAAATAGGACTACACGAAGTCTTAGTGTTATAAGAATTACAAAATGGAAAATTTAGAAACATATCACATATATAGTCATCAATTTTTGAAAATAATTAAGGTAAAGGAAAGATTCAACCAGGCTAATTATAGGTCAAAAAAGATTCCAAATAATAAATTTAATTATTATTTGGAATCCGCCTTTCTCTCTCAATTCTATTTTACAACTTTTAAATTATAAAATATTATATTTAACTGATAAAATTTAATACAGACAAACTTAGGGTTGCTAAACAATGATGTGAAGATATGACTCAAATTTTATTGTTATAGAAGTCCTGTCATACAATAGAAAGGAATAGTCTCTGAATAGGACAATTGAACCGATTGTGTAAGTCGGTGGTCTACTGTAGACAGATAGAATGTTACACTAACTTTGAATGTAACTGAAATATAAAAAAAAATTATTTTTTATTATTAAAAATTTACTCTCTTTGTTTTATAATTATTTTACTTGTATAAGTGTCAAAATGAATATAAACTTGTCATCCTATTATTATTTATATAACTAAAAAAAAGAATTGAAGGAGAGCTATATAAAGTGTATATCATCCGGTTCTTCGATTTGCAGAGCCATGGAAGCAGAAGCTGTGGTAGCCATGGTGCCAAGCCCAGGTATGGGACATTTGATTCCAATGATTCAGTTCGCCAAGAGACTCTGCCGTCACCACAACCTCCGCATCACTTTCTTAATACCCACCAACGCTCCTCCTTCTCAGGCCCAGACCACCATCCTCACCTCCCTCCCATCTCTCATCTCCCACGTCTTCCTTCCAACGGTCACACTCACTGACATTCCACCCAACGCCAAAATGGAGACTATAATCTCTGTTACAGTCCTCCGCTCTCTCCTTTATCTCCGCCACGCCCTCCTCTCTCTCTCCGCCACCCACCGGGTGACAGCTCTACTCCTCGACTTCTTCGGTACCGACGCCTTCGACCTCGCCAGAGAACTAAACGTGTCCCCTTACGTCTTCTTTCCTTCCACCGCCATGGTTTTGTCTTTGGCCTTGAACGTCCCTCGCCTGGACCAAGACGTTCACTTCCGGGACTTCTCCAAGCCTGTCCACCTCCCCGGCTGCCTTCCAGTTCATCGAAAGGACTTGGGGGATGCGTTTGAGGACCGGGATGACGATGCCTACAAATGGGTTCTCCACCACGGCAAACGCTACAGGTTAGCAGAAGGGTTCCTGGAGAATAGCTTCCGTGATCTTGAACCGGACACCATAGACTTGCTGCTGAAGGACGAACCGGGTAGGCCACCGGTTTATCTGGTCGGACCGCTGGTAAAAGAGGATGATGCCGGAAGCGAAGCTAACATGGTCGAACAGTGTTTGTGTTTGAAGTGGTTGGATGCGCAGCCACATGGGAGTGTGATATTGGTGTGTTTTGGAAGCGGTGGTAGCCTGTCCAGAGATCAGATGGAGGAACTTGCTTTGGGGTTGGAGATGAGTGAGCAGAGGTTTGTGTGGGCGGTGAAGTCCCCCAACGAGGAAGTTGCCAATGCTTCTTATTTCAGTGAGGATACCGGTGTCCACCTTTTTGATTTCCTGCCACAAGGATTCGTGGAGAGAACCAAAGGAAGAGGCTTGGTGGTACCGTCTTGGATCCCACAGGCCCAGGTGCTGAGCCACCCCTCCATCGGAGGGTTTGTGACCCACTGTGGTTGGAACTCGATTCTTGAGAGTGTGGTGAATGGTGTGCCATTGGTGGCTTGGCCACTCTACGCTGAGCAGAAGATGAATGCCGTTTTGGTAACTGAAGGCATGAAAGTGGCAGCGAGAGTGGTGATCGGTGAGAATGGGTTGGCGGAAAGAGGAGAAATTGCGAGGGTAGTGAAGATGGTGTTGGAAGGTGAGGAAGGGAAGAAGCTACTTCACCGAATGAAGCAGCTGAAGGAGGCCGCCGCCACAGCTCTGAGGGACGGTGGCTCTTCGTCAACCCAAATTTCTGAATTGGCTCTCAAGTGGAAAGCCCAAACGAAAGTGTATTATTGAAACAAGTTGTTGCATGCTTTCGTGGAAAATTGAAATAAGTTGCATTCTTTCTTGTCTTAGTCTATCTCTCTTTTCTTTCACTGTCTCACCCACCGCCATTATCTTCCATGATGGTTATTTTCTTTTATCATTTCAAGATTTTATTCTTTTATATTGTTTGAAAATGCGTATCATCTTAAATTCAATCATCTCATCATATTATTCATAATCTTATATAACTTTAAGGACTATTTTACAATTTTTTCTAAATTATAATTTTTCTTTGTACTCTAATTATTTACAACTTCAGATATTAATTATTATAAATGCTATATTTTATTTTAATTTAATATATATATATATATATATATATAATTCATTATATATATATATATATGTAATTTATTTATGTATTGGATTACAGTTGTGGTATAATAATAAATTTATCATAATAAAAGTAAACATTAAGACGTAATTAAGTAAATTTTTTTGACAATTTATTGAATTATAATCTGATCGGGTATCGTTGTATTAATATATTATAATTTTTTTTAACTAAATTAGAGCATTTTAAGTGTATATTCCATTTATTTTCATTGTCACTCTTATTAATGTCTAATGTCTGAAAATTATTTTTTGTTTGAATGTTTTCTATTTGTTATTAGAATTATTAATAGAAATATTTTTAATATTACTAAAAGTAATTTAAATATTTTAATAATACCAAGATTCATTTATTAAATATATTAATAAATAAATAAAAATCGACTATAAAATAAAATAAAAACTGAACTCTATTACCAGAATAAGTAATAAAATATAAGGATGGAATAAAATAAGCAACCTCGAGATATGGAAACGGCCCTTATACACATGTGACTTTGTTTGTCCCTATTAATCCCCTGTCACACAGAGCACCAGTTTTCTAATGTTACTTTACTTTCCCACTCCCATACACAAGCCCTAAAGTGATATTCATATTTCTTATCACTCCTCTAATTATAAACCAAGTTATGATTTGCCCATTCATTATATACAACCTCTTTGTTTTTTTTTTAATATAATTCTTAACTCATTGTATTGGATTGAAATTTCATCTCATTCTAAGAAAAAAAATGTTTTTTCAACACATACTTGCACTGACAATTCACTTTTAAGGGTATTTTAGTTAAACTTTTTATTTGTAAAATAAAAGAAATTAAAGAGTAAAATAATAGATATAAAGTATGTAAAAATTTATTAAATGTTAAAATCATATTAATTTTTTTTTAAATCACCGCAATTCATATTTTACACGTTGGATTTGTATGTACGACTTGTTAGTTGGTAATACGAAACAAATTAAAATATTTTACTTTAAATGGGCTTCATTCTTAGGCCTAATGCTAATTGGATCCTCAGGCCCAATATTAATTGGATTGTTAAGTTAAGTAACAACCTTATAAAATAAGGATTTAATGCTAATTATTTGGGATATGAGAAAAACCAGAAAACGAAACGAAAGGGAGACATTGAAAGCAATGATTTTTAGAGTTAATGGGGGTCTGGGTGATCGAAATTAAGGAAATCTTTATTGAAGCAGGACTGGACCAGAGAAAGGAAGAATTGGAAACTAGTGTTTGCAATGATGCTAAGCATTTTGATGAATTATAATATATATCTAAGAGTTGGATGAGAGTGTAATGGTGAAATGTTCAGTTTCTTGACCTCGAGAGAGGGAGAATGTCGATTTCGTAGTCCTGTTGCCATAGTTGACAGTAACAGTATATTCTCCTAAGAAGCCATAAAAGCTATAGGAACCGTGCACGTCTGTCACTCCCTCTACACGACCTGTTTTCCACTCTTGAAGAAGTTTGTCCACCACATCACCTGCTGCAAGGTTCTTAAAATTCTTGTCTGTCAGGCACATTTGGTAACACCCATTTGGATGATATGCTGTCCAAAGCATTATCCCATTCACAGCAGGATGTGAGAACCCTTCCCTCAACACTTGCTCCAAATTATTTCCCTACATGTTATCAAAATCACAGTTCATTTCAGATTATCATACTATCTTGAGTAATTCACATCATGTATGATAACTATCTCTCTCTCTATATAATTTGACTTGATCTGGCTTACCTGTGAATCTGTATCAATTGTCTTGCTTATATCAACCTCAGTAAGCCAAATGGGAAGTCCAAGTGTTGCCAACTTGTCTAGTATGGCTCTGATAAGGGGAGGATTGGGTATTGTGAAGTGTCCCTCCAAGCCAATTCCATCCATCAAGATGCCATTTCGTCGTAGTTCTTTTACCCGTGAGATATAGGCGTCTACGGTGGAATTTACATCACTGCATGTTTCCACAACATTAAAGTCTTTCATAAACAGGGTTGATAGTGGATCTGATTCGTGTGCAGTCTCAAAGAAATGCAATGTTGCATCTGATCCGAGCCTTTGCTCGTAGAAATCAAAATGAAGCATTTCGTTGCTGACGTCCCAGTGTATGAACTCATTTCTGTACTGGCTCATCAGACTTTTTATTCGGGAATTCACTGCAGATTGTAGCTGGGTGCCAGTAAGGTTAAGAACCCATGGAGGATTGTACTTAGGGTCTTCCCAAAATATGTTGTGCCCTCTGGCTACGATGTTTTTTGTTCGAACAAATTGTAGCATTTGGTCTGAAATGGTGTAATTGACCTTGCCTTCATCAGGTTCTGTGGCGTACCATTTGAGCTCTTTTTCAAAGACTGCAGCGTTGAATCGTTTCACAAACCAATTCTGAATCGACACAAGATTTGAGTCTCGTCATGCATTACCTTGTATGCTACGAAATATAGTGGTTGGTGGGGTACACATAATATACAAACCTGATAGGGTACGTTTCCAAGAATAGTGTGTGCTATGGCAGATCCAAAAAGGAATTCTTTTGAGATTTGCTCTATACAGATGGAAGCTCCTTGCAACCTTCTACCGTTGCTATCTGACACATGAATAGTGACTGCACGCTTTCTTTTCTATCAAATGCAAGTGGAAAAGAAACATTTTTTGAGAAGGTCCTTGCAACATATACTTTTTCTGTTCATCCCTTATTAATCAGTGTTAACAAAAACAACTAAGCATTCCATTATTTTGGTCAAATACTGAAGTGCAACTCACAGTATTGATCGTATACTGTTGATTGGTTTCCCATTGTTGCTTAGTAAATGGCTGGAGTGATGGGCTAGCAACTTCTATATTGATGTCTTTACCATCCGCGTTCTGCATAACAAAATTGAAAGAAACTAACCAAACATCGTAAAACTAAGAGTTTTGCTGAATAAGAGCAGAGAAAAGTAAGCTACCTGGAAGAAGATAATGGATAAATTTGAAGGCCAGTTGAGAACAAAACCACCTTTCAGAAAAGACCAGCATCCAAGCTTGGCTGAAACTGTTCCTATGCAATCATACGTCTCTTTCTCTGTTTCCAGAGTAGCCCTTATCATAGCTGAACTTGAACCTTTAACTCTCACCCATGCTGTAACATATTGTCATCCACCCACATCATATCTAACAATTCTACATTCTTACTATCGAAAAGGTTAACGTTAAAACAATTAATTATATAAGCAATTTCAGTATAGCATCAGCAATCCGTTGTAGTCTAGTTGGTTAGGATACTCGGCTCTCACCCGAGAGACCCGGGTTCAAGTCCCGGCAACGGAACTTTTAAAGGTTTTTTTTTTCTCATTTATCAAGCAGAAAATGGTGAAGTGAAATAATCAATCATGAAGAGAAGAGTGTAAAAAAGATAATAACCAACCGGAAAAAGTGTAAATGGTGTCCTGAGTGAGATTATGGAGAACGAGTGAAGGCACGTAGATGTTGTTAACAACGTAAGATGAAACAATGTTGTCCTGAACAGCAGGAGGAGACTGTTGGTCACTCTTGAGAATTCCTCCTCCGTAAAGTGGCTCCTCTGGCTTCTCTTTGCACTGTCACCGATATCAATTAAAGTCATAATCCTTGCTTAGTGAATAGTTTTGTTTAAAAAATATAATTACCTCAGTGTAGGCAGTGAAGTCATATAGGGGCCCATCTGCAACGAAGACACCAAACGAAGAATATTGAGAATTTCATTTGTGAAAATAACAAAGAAGGAAAATGAGTACGAAGAACAACCATATAAAGGAGAAACCAGAGAAGTTGGTATTAGAAGGAAGAAAAGTATAAGGACATAGAAGGGGATATCTTGTTGCATCCTTGGACTTATTAATGAGAAGGGAGAAGAAAAAGGGTTTTGATATGAAGTATGAAGAAAAGAACTGAGCTTAAATACAAAAGAAATGGGAGTACTGTGTCGCAGAGAACACGGGAGTGTAAGAAAGGATAGACGACAAAGAGATAGGTTGTACTTAGATTGAGGGTATCAGTGGAGTAGCATGGGGGACTTCATTTCACAAGGGAACAGGAACTCTTAATAGCTCCTTTCTTTTTCTTCACATGCCATCCTTACGTTAACATATCAGAAATAATAAATTCATCTCACTCTTATTTAAAGACACTGCTAATACAGTTGTTCACCTTCCTCTTCCTATCATTAATTTCCAATTAATCAAACATTGATTTTTTGCAACGTTAATCGGTGATGGTAATGGTTTTGTATTCGTCATTTAATGTGTCTTGAATTGCATTTCCATCTGCCGCAACTCAGTCCATTTATTCACATTGCTTTTTCGAATATGGTACTCCATATTCAGTCTTATTATTAATGACTATTTCTCTGTTTTAGATTCTGATGAATCTAAAATTTAAACTTTTGAAATCTTGAAAAAGTTGAAAATTTTGCGTACTTTTTTAGTGATTTGCAGAGGAAGAAAATATTAACTGAGAAGTGTGAGAAATGTGTGAGGCGGTCTGGGGTCACATGATCCTTAATCTGATGTGATGACAAATTTTTTACAAGTACTTAGATAATGTAGCGATGGATGGTTCAGAACTCATGTGAAACATCCTATGAGAGACCAAAAATCACGACCTTTCATCTTTTGGTCTTGTACAGCTGGTCAGGTGCAAAAGGACAATATACCATTATGCAATCAATTAATTAACGTGTGGAGTTAAAGAATGAAGGACACCGATCGATTTCATCTCTTCTAAACAGATGTCAAAAATAGAGATATATAGTGAAATAAAAGCATGAAATAGACATGTATAATTTTAATGTGTCTAGCTAGACCTCCCTCGTTAGTTTAAAGTTCACAGTGCATGGGCTTGTTAATGACTGAAACTTTTTGTTCTGTAAGAAAATTAAGAACATTTCTATTACCAAAAGAATTTGATCATATTCGTACAAAGAGTGCTGCAGAATGCTTCACTCGTGACGAAGAAAAAATTGAAGTGCTGCACAGCTTGAACTTCCCCAGAATGGTATTGCTTGGAGTGGGCATTGAATTCTCATTAAATGAAGTAAAGGGTTGGCACGCGCTCTTCTTTTTGGACCAGCATTACTTCCCACCATCACCACAATGCACACCTCTTCCCACCCACCCTTTTAATCATGCATTATCATCATCCATAAAAACAAAGGATTTATGGTATTAAAATGTTCCTATTTCATTACTCCTTTTCTTGGAAGTCTCGCCTCGATTATAGGTAAGGCCAAATTATAATATATAAGTGAGTGTAAACCTCACCTTACAAACCGGTTTTGTGGGGATGAATTCGGCTTAAGCCCGCTTTCTGATATTGTATTAGAGTCATAGTTAGAACTTATCTTAGCGAGATCTATGTGGACATTCTATTTTCACCTATTGTCTGGCCATTATCGGATCGGACCATCCCATTAATTCTACTATCACGTTTGTGGGGTTGAATTAGGCTCCACCTCTTAATACCTTTCAAATAACATGTAAGTGAAGTCTGGACACAAGCCATTTAGGCAATTCGAAATGGGAAAAACTGAAAGGAGTCCCAGAAACCACATGAATTTATGTTACGAAGAAGACTATGTAACTCAAGTATGTTCCTTCTTTGCAGCTTGGCATCATCAACTTCTGTGAAAGTGCGTTGATTTGTTTGGCTAAAAGGACAACAAAGAAATCAATATATTATCCTTTCTCTCTGAGCTGGGTTTCAGCATGGTATAGGTATGTTCCTTTCGGTTCTGATCTCTGCAGGCTCTGCGGTCCACGTATAATGAGTCTATGCTACTGTAAGCATTTCTCAAATTGACCCTTCTGAATCAAGCAAAGGTGACACCATTCTGTTTTTTAAATTTCAATCATATCCCAAAAGTGATGAGAATCGAAGTGAGTTCAAGTTGCCATTAGAAATGTATTAATGTTTTCTATTAATAAATAGAAAAGGTTTAGGCCAAATGTTAAATGAGCTAATAAATTAAGAATATGTCATTTATGTCAAGAAATTCACACATCGTTCGTAAATAGAAAAGGTGTAGGACAAACGTTAATAAATTAAGAATATGTGGATGCGAAGAAATATCACGGAAGGATGAAAAATATACATACAAGACCAATAAGTATCTGTTTTGCCAATAAATACTAAGCTATACCAGGAAGTATTCTTCTTACAGAGAAATATTAACATCACCTAATTACGGTTCAAACATAATTAATCACAATTAAGTTGTTAACTAAAAAAGTTTTGAATTATTATATTATATAATACTACACAAAACCATGAACACCTCAACATAATATTTACATAAGTAATTAAATGATAATAAACATATAAAATTGTCATGACTATGTGATGATTGTGTTAAGAATAATTTGTTCTCAAATCCTTTTAGGTAAAAATCCATTAAAAATTGTATAAGTAAACAACTATCTTCAAAGTATACCAAGTATCCCTACCTTTAAAATTGAGATTGAGATGTCAAAATCTTCCTGAGATTGAAATCCTAAAACAAAGAAAATATATGAGCCAAATAATTCCAAACACCAAAATTAATCAATAAAAAAATATGTAGTCTTATAAAGGTCATTTTGACTTGTAAGAACACAACATATAATGATTATATTGGGTGTACAAATGCGTAAATTTGATTTATAAAAATTTCTTGGGTTAAACATTTTCTTTTTTAAATTATTTTAAAAAATTGTTATATCTCTAAATTAAACTATGTATTTATTTTTTCGCAACATTTTATGAAAATTTTATAAAATATCTTATATAGCAAGCAATACGTAGGAGTTATATTATAAGCTATAATGAAACTCCTTTACAATGAAAACATTTCAAGTGTCATGTACTAAAAAAATGTTTTCGATAACTTTAATAAAGTATAAGAATAGTATATATATATATATATATATATAAGTGAGTTTTCTCTGTTTTGTCCATCACATCCTGCAATCCTAAATGCCCGTTAAATATGACATTTTGTCTTTGCAGCCTTCCCTCAGGGTCTTGTTAGAAGTATGATCATGAACACCGATGGATCCCCAAATACTGTATATGTACTGTATTTGCAGTGGATATATTATTACGTCATATTTTAGCAGAGAGATGAAGCATGCGTGGGGCAACAGGTTGACGTTGATGGAACACCCTAAATCAATGAAGACAAATAGGCCAACGTCAACCGCGGGTAATTATTTCGATATAACATTGACATGGTGAAACTGGTGTTCTTTATTTATTTTTTCAGGAATTGTATGCCTATGGATGATGCATGCTCTTGAAGTTGGCATGAACATGCTGAAACTATTTTAAAATTATTTATCATATAAATATGTGAATTTGTGTGAGTGAATAAAAACACTAATCTGTCGAAAGACAAATTAAAGAAAAAAGAATATCTGTCAGAGTTCTTCCAGTTTTTTGGCCATTAGCTCCGTCAGATACCAAAACCCAGCTGTTCTGAGATTGCTAGTCGTCTTCAAGTAAAGTAATTGATTTTAGAGTTTGTCTTCACTTAAAATATCATGAAAAGTTTTTTTTTTTTTTTTTCATCTTTTAATTTTGGACAAATGTGTGTGTACATATGCATATGATTATGTCTGTATTCGAATTTAACAAAGATGGTAGGAGATCCATTGGTTCGTATTAGTAAAGTCTGCAATACTGTTGAGTGAGATGAACACAAGCAATTGCAAATATATACTTGCATGTATTGAAAATCTTTGACAACATTCTGTCCCTCCCTGCTGCTTGAAAACAAAACATTCTACGACTGTAACCTGATTGCTTCAGATCACACACAAGGAATGTAGAAACCATATTAACCCGGTTTTATTCCCAAAAAGACATGTGATTACCAGCAGACGCACCTGAATGAAAAGAGTGTGATACCGTGGTATATCATCGCCTAGTTGATGTGAGTGAGTTTTTGTTGGAGTTTTTGGTGAAGTAGATTCTTTTGTAAAGCATCTTGGTTCTGATCGATAGAAGAAGGTCTAAGAAGAAGCCGATAAGACAGGCTGCAGCCATAACAATGAATACTAGTCTGTAACAATGAGGTCCAATACAAGTGTTGCCTCCTCCTGTGGTGGTGGTAGCCTCCATATCATAGAGAATGCCAGCTAGGAGACCAGAAAAGAGGAAAGAGCCAAGGGGAAGGTTAAGGATTAGAATGTTGTAAATGAGTCCATAATATCTGAGGCCAAATAACTCTGAGGCTGTTGGCACAGTGATGGCTAGCCTCACTCCGTAGCATATGCCAACCACAATGGAGCCTATGTAAAGTGAACCTGGCATAGCCATGGCCAGCAGTATGTATCCCACGCCCATCAATATTTGAGAACCTGCATTCCAAAGGGGTCTTGGAGTTCCGCCTCTTCTGCAAATTCATAAAACACTCATCAAATTTAAATATTGTATTCAGGATGTCATATACAAAAATTTCTTGTGTTCTTTACCTCTATTTCTGTTTATCTCTCTTTTATTGTTCTTTACCTTTTTTGGCAGTTTAAAACTATCAAGATTGTCTTTAAACTTCATGTTAAGTGATTCAAGAAATAACTTTTGAAAAGAACATTATGTCTTATTTAGATTTCTGAACGGATTCACCTCTGTGTGTGATTATCTTCAACTTCTTTATTCTTTAAAATATCTAGAAATAAAAGAAAGTAAGGTATGAAAAGACAAATAATAAAATGCATTACAAGAAAACCAATAAAAAAACTAATTAAAGGCCAATTTAAAAATTAATTTATTTGATAGTCCAAACTTTGATAATTAATTTTATAAATTAATTTATAAATAAATTATAATTTTTTATTCATAAAAAATGGATAAAAAAATGTCCTCCAAACAAACACAAATCACCACAAAGTCATGGGTGAGATCAATATCAGAGAAATAAAAACAACTATTTTCTCAAATAATCTAAAATTTGCTGAAAGAACCAACCAAAACAATAAAGCCATCTAATTTTATGGTTAGACATGTTAAATCGATAAATTCCTTTCGATCACAAGAAAACGGGTCAGACTGACTTACTTGATGAAGTGCTCCGAAACAGAACCCGAGACGATCCGACCGAAAAAGCCCCAAATACTGGTCAAAGACACGAAGAGGGACACATCCGAATAACCCAGCGCCAACCCGATTTGACCCATATTATTCATAACCGCCAAACCAGTTCCAACCCCGCAAAGAAACGATACGAACAGAATCCAAAAGTCCACGGTTCTCAGCACCTCCCATACCGTGTGCTCCTCCCCCACCGCCGGTCCAATCTTTCCCACCGCTTCCGCTTCCGCGTCTTCCGCTAACACATTTCCTCTCTCCACCTGGCATTCATTTCCGTTGTCGTTTCCGCGAAGCAACGGTTCCTCACCCCGCCCCTCGAAATCCGGTCTGATCTTGTCCAACCCACGCGCCTTCAAGTAAGAGTGGACCGGGATTCCCAACGGCGCCGCCAACAGAACAAGCAAACCGACAGAGAAAGCTCGAGACGCCAACGCGCTAGGGTTAGGCACGAAGCCGAAGGCCAAGAGGTAAACGGCGACTGCGACGGCGACGGCGTTGAAGACCCCGAAATAAGTGGACTCTTCGTCATCCTGGACGGCGGCGGAAGGAATCTCACGGAGGAAAAGGATTCCGGAGAGGCAAACGACGAATGGGATGAGAGCGAGCATGAGGAGAAAAGAAGCAGGGTCGTTCGTGAAGAGAGCGGAACAGAGGTCGGTGAATATGGCGGTGCTCAATCCGACGTAGCCTTTGAGAATGCCGGAAACAGGACCTCTGTTGCGGCGGAAGTTGCGGATGCAGGTGACCAGAACCGCCGTGTTCATCCATGTGGTGCTGTTGCCACCCAGGCAGAGAAATATGCACATCTGTATGTAGTTTAGGAATTGAGAATGTGGAATTTTAAGAAAATAAAATATTTTGGATGAGTAATGAGTAAGTGGTGGTAACCTGGTAGTAGGGAAGGGGTTGGATTCTTTGGCTGACGACTAGCCACTGAACGCCATAACCGACGAGACCTTCAACGGAGCCGATGAGGAGAATGATCCAAGTGGGGAATTTGTCAGAAGCAAGCCCGGCAAGAAGCCCAAATGCCTTTCCGACGTCCTTGGCCACCGAGAGATTGTTGAGTTGGAGTTGCGTTAGATGCATGAGGGATTTCAGAGCGTCGGAGTAATTTGAGAAAGTGTAGTTGTTGCCGGAGATGGCTTGAATCCACACCGCCGCCACCAACCCAATCCATTTCGTCCTGCTCCAACTCCAATCACCGCCCATCTTTGGATTTTATTTGAGTGACTGCTGTTCTGTTTCTATCTATCGCTTCAACCATCCCCTCATTGTCGCCATCTTATATGCTCCTACAAAAACACTATTTTCAGAACTTCCCTGTTACATTACAACCATTTAATCACTCTAAATAATAATAATAAAACATAAAATTAAATTATTAAATAAAAATTATTGTAGATATAAATTTTAAAGGTGTCCCCTGTTACTATCCTCTCTTTCCCACTCTACCCATTTTTTTTTTTTATTTTATCTTTATGAAAAGTGATTAAATTAAATTAAAAAGGGATTTGAAGTCTAAATTTGAAAGCAACTCTGCCTTTCTCTCAGTGCATGGTTCATGGTGCTTACTCATTTGCCGCGCTCTGCATCCCTCGCCCAAATTGTTTGTAAAATCCAAGAGGGTTACTTTTTAAATCTATTTCTTGGATGAACGATTCTCAGAGCATCTCAGATTATAATTTCTTAAGTTCGTGTTTATTCCGTTATTCATTTTTATTAATAAGTTAAAAATAATGGAAAAATTAAAAAAAAAAAAAAAAAA